GGGCTAACGCATATGAATACGATTGGTTGCGTTATCACCAACGACACAGGGAATTGAACAAACTTATGTTTTCCAATAAATTTTTAAATAGTAAAATCTTATATAACTCCCCCCCCTTCCTGGTATTGATTTCAAGTAATCACTGATTTTTGTTTATACCACTCAGTCTTTATCATAATTTTTGTTTAAAGGGGCACCTTCCAGTTAGGCTTAATTTCACAACAAATTTACTTTCTGGATTAAAATAACAATGGATAACAAAAGATAGATTAACATTGTAAGCAACATAGACAATGGTGTCCCATGATTCTTTGGTGCAATCCATGGGATTGAGCGGTTCCCCTTTAACAACTCTTTCCTTTATCACAATCTTCGTTACCCGCTAATAATAGGGTGTGAATTTGTGTGTACATCGTGCATTAAAATTTGCATATAGTCATTAGCGGGTAATAAAGATTGTGATTGTCAAAGCGAAAGCTATCCAGCCCGTTCGTACGGCATAAACTAACAGCAATCGACCGTGTCAAGAAGAGGTGAACCCAAGTTAAGGGTTGCACGTGATCAAGCAGTGGGTGAGCCCACTATTCCTGGGTGGGTAAAAAGTGAAGAGTAAATTTGTTTTCAAAGTTGACCAAGAGGCGGGACTGAATATAAAAACGTGCGAAATTGTCCGACAATGACGACATCGGTAAAGCTGTTTACGTTTCTTCAAGAACGGTCTGCCGGAACTCCACTTTCTGGTCCCATCAACCAACGCAAAGCACGTAACTCAGATATTACAATTGTGTATTATGATTTTTTCCCCGATAAGCTGAGCGCGATGTTTAAAATAGGGCAACAGTGCATTTTATTGTGAAAATTGTCGCCCTACGTCAGCTAGGAACAGGCGTGAGCATGTTCGGTCTGAGGGTCGGTGTAAAGGATTGAAGCGCGGTGGTCGTCGCGCAGCGCGTGTTCGAATTTCATGTAAATAAACAATGTATTTTAAACGTGTTGTATACGTCGCTATGAGTCCCATATCACTCTGGATGCGGCACGACGACTGCCCTTTAAACATGTAGTTTAACTAAGGTTAAGGTCAAGTGAAGTCCATGGTAATTAGCATATCGAGCATAACGAGTTTCTTAACCGCTCTTCTAGCAACCGTGCTTTAACTCGGTCCATGGAAGGTACCTTCCATGCTCGGTCTTGCATACACTCGGGTTTCTACTACGCCCCACCCACGTAGTATTATACTTTTTCAGTGTGAAGGCGAACTGGACGTCGCAGCCTGAGGCAGAGGTGGCGGTACGAAATTGTGCATGGAGGGGCGAGATCAGCTCACCAGTCTTGCGCCGAAGACGCGACCTTACTAGCGGGTCCGGGGCATGCTCCCCCTTAAACATTTTGAAATCCAGACCCCAATATTTTTTTCCGTGGGGGCTATCTGGTTATGACAAATCTACGTAAAAATAACTCTGTCAATCCTAAAAATAAACAACAGCTCGGAGGGTGTGATTGGGATCGGTTTGAACTGCTGTTTTTAGGCAAATCCATGCGGTTGTCCTGGGATCCCCACGATTGGATACAAAAGCATAGAAGTTTAAAATTGAAAATTGTTATCCATAAGCCATTTAATTTTGATTGGGGTGGGCGGAGTGAGCCTGTGCTTATTTTTATTACTGTTTGACCACCCAGTTTGCCATTCACCATGACCATTTCCATATAAACAAAAGCTTCAGCCAATAGATCCGACTACCTGTTCTAAGGCACTTGGGAATTAGTGTTGTGGCATGTGGCAAATGTCCCTGTGTCTTGGGTCATAGGATCGGCTAAATTTTAACTAGAAACTGGTAAACCGGTATACCTGTATGTACGAAGCCAGTGAATTTGACTCAATCAAAGCAAACTGCATCTACGTATATAAATATACACACACAGCATATTTTCTTAGAGCACTACATTGACACAATTGTGACAATTGCTCTACTCTCTGTGCTGGCTTGGTGGGTTAAACCCACCTTAAATATACCACACCAGCCACATAGCGCCCTTTGCACTGAGAACAAATTTGACATATTTGAGATTATTAATTAACCTGTATTGCGACCATGGACGAGAACATAATTGTCCATAATATTAAAACAACTGCAATACATCAGTAATGACAACGCAAAATAGCGAGTGTTTAAATTGCTTAGCCACGTGTGACATTGTATGTAACAAGACATGAATGTCACAGTCCCTGTTATTCAATTATAAAATACCCGTGTTAAAATAATACATGGAACATCTGCAAACAACTAAATTAATATGTACTCTATGTGGGTACAACTCATCATTGTCCTTAATCTGATAACTGAAAACTGTTATTGACGCGGTTCTAAAATCTAAGAGTCCACAAGTGCAACCAAACTATGTCTCATACATGCATACACCTTGGTGTACCTTTAATAACATAATTATATAATTAATAACTGAGATAACTGAAAAGTGACCATAAAAGGCCATGCAAGAAATGTTGAATGATATAACGAGTAAGTTCTTATTCGTATTTCTGTGTGAAATTATGTATA